TATCCCTGTGCCATAACAGTGTTTGGTGTACGGGTGGTACGCACGGGGACGACACGTATATGGTGTTTGGACAGCCGTTTACAAACTCGGCGTTTAATGATGAGGACAGATATTTGAGCGCATATTTTATGTACCTCTGGTCATCATTCGCTAAATTTGGGTAAATATTATCAGTGACAGTTTATAAAAGTTTTTAAAAAGTTTACTCACGCTATTGACAGTAGTAAAATTATTAATTATTACGTTAATATTTTTATTTTTACATATGTTTTAAAATCATAAATAATATAATTAATAGTTATTTATGTATTTAGTTCGGTAGGAATAAGTACGGTGAATAACCAGGCTTGGTTGCCCTACCAGCTCAATAATGGTGGTGTGAGTATAAATTGGATGGAACTAAACCCAGATCCTAAGAAACTTGGTCATATAACTGTTGATGGCTATCAGGGTAATAATGGCTTCACTCCGGCTGTTGTGCAGAATTGCAAGAATTTTTGGCAACCAATACTGAAATCCATGTTTTAAACATAAAAAATACTCTTTAAAAACAATATAAACAATAGGCATTCATAAAATAATTATATTTTCTGATAGGTGAAAATAATTTTATATAAGTAAATTGTTTAATCACATAAAATACTTTTTTTTATAACATATTAAGCTTTCCAAAAATGATAACCATATATAGAATTTTTACAAGGTTACAGTAAGGTTAATAATTTGTACTTGGTAAGTCATTCAATCTCATTGCAAATAAAGCAAACTGTAACTATTAAAAGTAAATATATTTAACTTTAAGTAATATATTATTTGTTATAAAATTGGAACAAAACATGACCTCAACCTTGATTATTTTGTAATTTATCCTAATTAATTTACAAATTTACATAAATAACAAATTGTTTCCTGTAACATTTACATACTGGGTGATTTCTTTTTTTTTGCAAAATTGTTGACGCATCCAGAAATAAATCAAATAACATAATATTATCTTGCTTATTTAAAATAAATGTACCAGTACATTTAAGGTATAGTAGATCGGTGGTTGTTATACAAAGTTTATTTAACCGTACAAATTATGTGATCGTAGAGTTTATTTTACTGATAAATCGTTGCAGACTATACACTGATATTAATGCAAATATTTGTATAAAATTGTAAATAAATCTAAAATAACAAATGCAGTTAAAATTGAATTTTAAAAATTTTATTTTTATAAATTATTCTTATTTAATTATTTGTGTTGTTAGGTGATGAAATTATTATACTAGAATTAATTTGTTTCCTATTATTGACAACCAGTAAATATAAAATATGATTAGGTAGATTGCTTTTATTTGAACATACATGTTCTGAAACGGACTCACTTAAAAAGTTTTTTCATAATAAGTGTAGTAAATAATATTATTGTATATACCACAAATCTATAACTATTATTATTGTAATTAAATCTTTTATAATATTAAAATATAATTTATTTTATCAATAACATAAACTGTAATTATTAAAACTAAATGCATTTAGCTTTAAGTAACTTATTGTTGATTATAAAGTTTGAATTAACATTGAATTCAACCTTGATTATTTTGTAATTTATCTAGAATTTTTACATAATTGTATAATATTACATTATACATAAGCTGATAATAAATGTTAAATAATATAACATACGGGAAAGTGTTATTTTTATTAAATTTAAAGAATAAATGTAATCAAAAATATTTGAAAATTCAAAAACTTATAGTAAATCCATGTTGAATGATTATATCAATTTTTCTTTTATATTTTATTTCTAGGTAAATTTCCTGAATGTTAAAACACAGTTTAATTTTTTTTAAAGTTTATAATAAAAATTATAATATTTACAAATGATTTTAAAAATTAGTAGCAAAATACAAATTATTTTTTATGATATTTTTACGGTAAACAGTAATAATAAAATTTTAACCAGTATTAATGTAAGTTAATCATAAATATTAAACAATAGCAATAAAAAGGAAGCGTAATCTTTATTGAGTTTATATAAAAAACTTTATCCAAAAATATTTTTTTAAAAATTGTATGATGAATTAATGTCCAATTTTTATACGAATTTTGTTTTTATTTATTAATTCTAAATAATTTATCATTTGTTCTAAAACACAGATTATTTTATCATTAACACTAGACTGTAACTATTAACCGTACATACTTTAAGTTATGTATTGTTTATTATAACATTGGGATAATCATAGGACAGATCTGAGACTTAGATTCATTTTTAATTTATTCAAATTATTTTGCAAAATTACATAATTAGCAAATTATTACCGATGTTTATATACTGGGTAAATTGCTTGAGGAATTGTTGGCTCATTCTAAAGTAAATAATTGAATAACACAGCACAATCATTTCTGAATATAATAACCTTGTTTATTATTTAAAAACATTAATGCAAGTGTTTTATAATATTTTAAATAAATTAATATATTAAATAATATATTTATAAAAACATAATATTTAATTAAAATACAATTTATAAAAACGAATATTAAATCTTTAGTTAATTATTATAGGCAAAATATTTATACTATTATTTATAATTTGATTTGGTGAATATTGTTATTACAAGAATAAAATATTTATAAATAAATAAATAAATAATTTTAAAAAATAATGTAAAAATACAAACAAGTTTTATTATAATATAATAATATATAACATAATATTATTATGTTTGACGTAAACTGTAATTATAAAATCTTAAACCATATTTCGATAAGTAGATTATAAATGGTAAACATTGGCCCTAAATAGTGTGTTATTTTTATTAATTTCTTACTTCTTAACTACTTTATTCACAAATATCTGAAATATTTATAGTGAATCCATGTCATTTAAAATTTCAAATTTATTTTTAATTTTTTAATTTTAAATAATTTATCCAAAATTCTAAAACACAATTAATTTTGTCATTATTAATGTCTCATTAAAAACAAACTGTAACTATTAAAAGTAAATACATTTAACTTTAAGTTATGTATTGTTTATTATAAAATTGGAACAAACAATGGCATCAACCTTGATTATTTTGTAATTCATTATAATTATTTTGCAAATTTATTTAATTAATAAATTATTTCCGATAACTTTTTATATACTGGGTGAATTGTTTGCGAAATTGTTGACTCATCCAGAAATATATAATTGAATAACATATCTTGCTTATTCTAAATAAATGTACCATTACATGTAGATTGGTGATTATTATGGTAGTTGATCATAAGACCTAATGATCAAAAGACCTAAAATTGATCAAAAGACCTAATGATCAAAAGACCTAATGATCAAAA